CTGATAAATTTCAATTCAAATTTTTTTCCAAAAGCAACAACTGTCCTTTTGGAATCAAAGGCACAGGTTGATTACCATTTTATCTTTTTATCTTTTTATCTTTTTATCTTTAACAGGCTCATTAAAAGAGGGTTGTTTGACTCATAACATATGTGATGTAATGAGGTTTTCGAACTTGTGCTGTAAGTATAATTAAGGGTAAATTTGTTTTATCTTTTTATCATTAATTTATATAAAATTAAAAAAATTAATTTTATTTTCAATATAAATACCACGTGATTGATTTTTATAGCATAGTCGATAAAATCATAGTAAATTTTTTATTTTTTATAATAATTAAAAATATATAAAATAAATACACGCTTAATCTATTCCCTAAACTAAGAGGTTAAACAAACTCTAATCTAATTCACATTGCATAGCCAATTGAATAAAATGAACGTACCTTGTCCTTCTGCAATTTAGTAGTTGCAGCATTGACCCGTCCAACTTGATACCTATAAAGCATTGGAAAGTTGCTCACTGAAACTTCCTCGCAGCTTCCTTTCTCAAAGTAGTGACCATAAAAATAACATTTATCACAAATCAATTTCGCCCGTCCCGATATGATAATGAAAAGTTCACCATAAAGCAGACAAAGCAAATAAACACGAAAGCAAAGGGAGACTTTCATTGGGAAAAAGAACCGACATTGTAATAATGTGTCCAACGTTACATCTGGAAATATCAGCATGATGGGCTAAGGAGTAATGTTGATCCAGTTGATCCAAATATCAATTAATCGGGAACTCTACCAAACCAGTTTAATAGTCGTGCACCTCATTTGAAGGGACAGAATGTTCATTCGGTTTTGAGATTGAATCTTCAGTTACTAACACTTAATTACAATTAATTTATTAATCATTACTTTTTGTAAAAAATAAAAATATATCAATTAATCGGGAATTTATAATTACAAAAACCAAGACAGAGGAGTTTTGAAGTCATTGTCCTCGGGAGATAACGGAACACGTCAACTATTATTTAGGTTGAATGGTCTTGTCCCCCACGTGGATACATCATACATCAAGCTTAATTCTGATGACTCGGCTCAAGGGAATCCTAGTTTGACTAGAGCTGGAGGGGTCTTTCGTGATCATTTCAACCAACTGGGTTGTGGGTTTTTCGAAGAAAGTGGGAAAGACTAGCAGATTAGTGACTAAGCTCTGCCCATAGCCATTAAAAGGGAGTTACCTAAACTCATTGAAACTGGCTCTAAGGTTGCTCCTACCTAGACTTAATTTTTATTAGATCATGGTGACCATGACCATCACTACTTACTGGGTGTTTTGCTTTTGGATTGCTGGACCTTGATAAGGAGTATTCCAGACAATAGGATCTTCGATGTGTATTGTGAGCCAATGATGTTTTTGACTTTCTGGCCAAACTTGGACCTATCTTGATTCTAATTTTGTTGTTACAGAGGATAATCCTCTAGAACTTGCTATTGCTAATATATTACCATTCCTTGGATCTGTACCTTCTATCTAACCTCTAATATATTTCTTTTCTATCAAATAGAAAACCATCAATCATCAATGGGCTAAAAAAGTTTAGTTTAAATAAATTATCAGAGGCTGGAACTTTGATGTGAGCCATAAAGGCCCAAATGCCACAGCTGTAGGCTTACTTGAATCTCATAGTAAACACTAAACCCAACAGATATAGTGTTCTCATTGCAGCAGCCTCAGCTCATCCAACTCAAAGTCTCACACAGAACTTGTGTTATCAATCAAATTTCAAAATTGATGCAATTCTTTGCCAGCACCTCATATTACCTTCCAAAGTATCATGGTAAGTATTGTTAGCTCATATTACCTTACATCCCACTCCTACCCAGTTCACACAAAATCAGTGCGATATATTTGGTCAGCGTAGCCTTGGTTGCTTATGTTTAAATTGATCTAAATGAAGGAAGTTGCGATAATAATAGTTGTAGAGAGCTTATATTGTTAGCAAGAGCAACAATTGTAACAAACAACCCATGACAATTATTATAACTACAGCTAAGGACTACACTACCATGACCAACAATTGTAACAAACAACCAATGCGAATTTTTACCCAAACCATAAGAATGAACATCAAGCAAACAAGATAATCAATTGCCACATGTCAACTTGAAGCTAACAATTTCTAGCTACTCAAACTAAGAATTTGCAAGAAATGGGAGGAAGAGATTAAGTGGCACTAACATGTAAATAAGCAACATCAAAAAGGCATTTCCTAGCCACAGAAGTGCATGACTAAAGCTAGGGGGAGGGACTCAGGGAGAGGTTCAGATATACTATTTTCCTTGGCCCCTAAAATATTCCCAAAAGAAGAGTACTACAAATTAATACACAAATTTTTACCCAATATCAATAATTCTACTGCATAATAGACTGTTTAAAACAAAAAAATTAGTATTAGAAACAGAAATTAATTTGTGCAAATCATTTTTGAAAGAAGAAGCCATGAAGGTCATAGACAATCAATCATAATATGTGACCTGCTCAATACTAGAATCATGAATCATCACATTATTGTGATTGGAAATATTCCAAGATAGTCTTCTACCCATATAACTGCTCCATTTTTACAAGTTCTAAACATTTCAAATAAAAAATATAAAAACGATATGCCTTTCTTTTTCCCTACTTGCCTTCACTTGTGCATCAACATCAATTTAACAGAGGCATATTTTGAAAAAGCAAACGCAACCTTAGCCAAACTGCAACATCACTTTCAAAGCTACTGAGCATGGCTGCCATGAGTGCATTAATTAACTTGCCTGCGATTACTTAGACCAATTCTCATTGATATTCACTCAAACAATCTTTTCAATTGACATGCATTCAGAATTCCTTCTTATTATTAATTGTTTCCATCAAGCTTTCATGGTTAAATTGTACCAAATATTCAATTGCTAGAGGCTAGATCAAAGTAAGAATTTCAAGAAATTGATTTTAATTCAACAGTAAATAGTAACAAAATGCATCTATACAGAATTTCACCAATTAAGAACTCATGATACATATGATCCAATCAACAAATTAGCTCTATTAAACAATTTAAATTAAACTGTAATTAAAATTAACATAATGCATATCTATTCTTATCTTCTGCATTCCAAATCAAGTTAATCAACCGAGTAAGAAGATCAGGGCAATCAAACATACCTTACCAAAAGCAAAGCAAATATTCTTGCCGCGACCACAATTCAAGATGTCCTGTCCAAGCAGAAAGTTCCACAGAAAAAGGCAGGCCCCTCCCGGATGCGGTCGCAAATCTGGCCTTTGCTCCTTCCTACTGCAGTTGGCAACAATTTTGTACTTAAAGGATCTGGATTCAACGGCCAAGATCCGTCGTAGATTATTCAAGGTAAGATCCGGATGTCGAGGGGGCGACGAACTAGAAGAGTGAAAACACAGTGTCTTGTATAGGTTGTGGAGGAAGCAAGTATGAAGAGGATTTGGGGCTAAAGGGGCTCCATTCTTCAATTTTGAAGCAGGAGAATGAGAGAATAGGAAATGAAGAATACAAGAAGTGAGAACACTAAACAGTCGAATCCCAAGGAAACTGAACGCGATAGCGTAACAGCGGCGGGGAAGGAAGGAGGCGGGTATGGTTATTGACGGCAAAATACCCAAATCCACCCCCCAACTATAGTGGCAGGGACGGATCCACACCCAAACAAAAAACGGGGACAAATACACCCACAAAGTTTTCGACTTGGACAAATAACCCATTATTTGACGAGCCACGTCAGCTACCGTCATCTTCCCATTAATGGCGTGCTTACTCAGACATTTTAAACATGGTGGAGGTTTTCTTGCCTGCGTGGATGCTGAACTAGCCCATTCTCGCCCATTTTAATCATACGTGGCGATTTTTCTCCCCTTTCCATTACACGTCAACTAGGCCCCACCTATAAAATTCCATAAAACCCTTAAACGGCTAAAACCTAACTTATTTCTATGTCTTCCCTTTTCCTTCCCTCTTCTCTTCTCTTGAAATCTAAAATCGTGGGTTAGGGTTTCTCTTTATCCTCTAAATCTAGGTTAGGAAAAGCTAATTCTATGGCATCTTCCTCTAATTCTCGATCATCAGGACTTGAAGCTTCTTCTGGGGTGAGGGATTTTGGGTTGATTGAGCACACATACGAAAGGCGTCAGATGTTCTGCGAGTTTGGATTAAAGGCACCGAGGTGGACTTCATGGAGACCATGGAGCATTGGTAGACGCTTTTATGGGTTCCCAAACTTCTTGAATGCTGTACGCATAATTTATTCATCATGGGTATGTAATTTTGTTTTATTTTGTAATAAATATTTACACTTGGAAATATTTTTCATGTAGGATTTGAGGTGTGCATACTTTGTTTGGCATGACTTTGAACTAACAATTGAGAGAGATACTGAGCTTTTAAAATTGTTGATTAACGAGAAAAAGTATATGAGTAACGAAATTGCAGCTTTGAAAAGGCAATTAAAACAAAGAAAGTTGGGTGGAACTGTACCTGTGTTAGATGAGTCACCTGTATCTGTTGAGTCAAGCCTGCCACATCAAGTGCTAACCTGCAAGAATATGGCCAAAGAAATGGAGTTGAATTGGAGGAAATTATACAAAATGCCGTGTCAAGAGCTATTGATGATGTGAAGAGAAAGATGGATGCCTCAGTTTCAGCCTCTGTCCATTCTGAAATTAGGAAATTAATCTGTACTTCTGTACTGGCTTTGGGGGTTGGGTTTGTATTGGTTATGTTCATTTGGTTCTTATTTTGAGATCCTTGCTGTAAGGTGTATGGGGTGTCATATTTTGTTTGTTTGTTGGGGGCAGGGCATATTCTGCTTAGTTGTAAGAACATTTTGGTCATGTCCTTAATGGCAGTAATCAAATGTAATTGACTTTTTTTGCAATGGACAATAGCTAAATCACAATCATGATGTTACCCTAAAACATGCAACTACACAAGCAAATTTGATTGAATATAATGCCATTGAAATAAAGCAAGACAAGACATAATAAAGCAAGGCATTATAACCACATGTACATCCCCAAAACAAGGCATAATAACCAACTGTCAAATGTGATTACAAACCACCAACATATACATACAAAAGTTCAAAGTACATCCCCAAAACAAGAAAATATAAAATGACATTGAGTCATGCTTTCTTTTTTCCCTTTATAGATGATTGCTTTGTCTTCTTTCTTGAGTCATTTTTGCCTTCATTGATGATTACTCCTCCAACCTACATAATATACACACTAGTCATTAAACATTTGAAATTTAATATGTGAAATAAATATTCAAGCACAAAAATTCTGAAAAAAAACTTACACAATCAATCTTTCTTTTGGCCCTCGTTTCCCTTTTAAGTGATTCCTTGCCTTTAGCATCATTCACCCTTTTTTTGGCAATTTTTTCAGTTTGTTCTTGCACCTTCTTCCCTTTTCCTTTTCCTGTAGTCACCTTGGGTTTTTGGTTGGCCTTTTTCTTTTGATGCTTTTTATCAACCTAAAATTGCAACATTGAAATTAAAGCTAACAAAAAAGATAAAAATTTACATGAGGTAGTGTAAACTTACATTGCTTTGACTGGTCCTTACTAACTCCTCCTTTCTGGGACATCCAGCTTTATTGTGTCCCTGTTGACCGCACAAGCGACAACTCATCACAGACCCATGCTTGGACAACCTGGTGAATTTCCCCACCTTAACTCTCTTAGGCTCATGCTTATCTTTTCTTTTATTCCTCCTTGGTCGTCCTGGTGGTGTTCTCAACACTGGTGGTAAACAACCTCCTTCTGGTCTCCTCTTCAAGACCTCATTGCCTCTAAGGCACTCCAATGCAGTCC